AAGAGGGAGAGACAGGAAGTAAAGAGAAACAAGTCTGATGAGGGACTAACCCTCATGTTGGCAGCAAGAACAGACAAGAGGAAGCTGGGGGATTCACAGTTTTTGAGACCCTGCTATTCTTTAAGATGCTATTTCATCTGATCACTCAATAACTCTGGGATATAGATGTCAATACCACCATCTTACAGATGAGGACAGTAAAGTTCACATAATTTAGGTAACTAGCCCAAGATCATATACTTGTTAATGAAAGAGCTGGTTCTTTTAACTGTGAGTTAAAGGTTGTATTCTGCTCTTCTTAGGATATAAAAATATTTTATTACCAAGCTTTTATTTTACCACAAGTTTTGCAAGGACCTCACCAAACAATGAGCAGGTCTCTAACATAATAAGGCATTGCCACTGCCCTCCCTATTTTTGCTCATTTTTGCTCATACAGAAGGAAACAGACACTTCAAACAAAATGCAAGGAAATAAAGAGGAGGAGACTGAAATAGGAAGGCTGAGCACAGAAGTATTTGACCACTAAGTTCCAACATAAGCATTAAACATTCATTCAATATATATTTAGCTTTTAATAAGTGTAAGCTCTGAGCAAGGTTCTGGGAAGAAAAGAGGAATCAAGTACTATTCTGATCTTTCAAAACAGTGGAGGAAACTGTCATGTAACAAATAAATGAAATAACTATTGCAAGGGAAATGATGGACTTCTGTGCACAGTAAACCAACAGACAAATAGGAAGGGATTATTTCCTGCTGAGGCATCAAAAGAAAAGCTTCATAAAGGAGTTAGACCTTGATCTGCATATTGATAGGTAAGAAGAGAGCCAAGGAGCAAAAAGGGGTAAAGAAGCTGTGACTAGTGGGGAGGTGTGCAAAGCAGAGGATAGAGACAGGAATCACATGGTAGAGAGGGACCAGATCCCCTGGGCAGGGCAGTTTCGCAGAGGCAGTATAAAACAGCAGGTGAGCGGGCAAATGCCAGGATCAAAGTGAAAGGCTTCAAACACTAGTCTGCACTTCCTCCCTGTTTGGCTTTAAATCAGTTGTTCAACTTTATTAAGATTTTATTTCCTCACACATAAAATGTAAATTATAACAACAAACAAAATCTTTCTCTCGCTCTCCTGACTTCTGAACAGAATAATAGGCAGGGGTCAAACAGAAATCAAGCAAAAGGCTTTAATCTGATAAATGTGGATTGGAGTATATGGCTTGAATTTAGAGTGAAAATGGGCTTCCTAATACTTGCTCTCAAAGCCATATATTGGATCCTACACATGAGGAGAGTTGGAGCTGCTGAAAAAGTGCATAGCAAGAAGGACTAAAGCCTTCTCAGACCTTATAGACTCCGGTGGCCCCTTCGAGTATGGTCCACAGACAAGCAGCCTCAGCATTACCTGAGAGTTTAACAGAAACACAGAACCTCAGACCTATGGCAAAGACCTGTTGGATCAAATTCTCTGCCTCACTCCTAAGAACATTAAAGTTTGAGAAGTGCAATCAGGGAGCACTAGAGAAACTGGATGAATAGATGACAGAGTCTCTCCATTTGGTCTGTTAGATCCATTCTTCTTTCTCCCGTGGGAGGAGCCAGTGAAAGGAGGACAAGAGGCAAAAGACTCTACCTGATGCCTCTGTAAGTTCCTGCTTGGGGCTAGCAAGAATTCAGGATGGATGAGAGGATAATTTCTCTTAAAAACACAGAAGTGGGGAGGAGGACCCCATAGATGTGACCCTAGTGATTATATGCAACATTCCTGGGGATTGTGAATGCAGGACAAGGGGGAAATTTCAAAGGAAAGACCATTTGGAATATAATATAGTTTCATTTTTTATGTTTAAATCTTAGTTCTAAGTCTCTGTCTACAGGACATTCCCTGAGCACTTTGTAAAAACTTCTACTCTGCCATCGCCACCTCCAATGCTCAGCACTCCCTGAGTCCCTTTTGTTGCTTTAGTTTATTTATCTCCTTCCCTCCCCACTAGAATGTAAGTGCCACAAGAAGCTATATCTATTTTGCTCATTAATGTTTTCCCAGTGCTTAGAACAAAGTGGCCCTGGGGATATATAATAGGTGGTAGATAATTAAATGAAAGGATATGACCTTGAGATCCCATGGGGGATCAGGTGGAGTTGTCAAATAATAATACTGTTTATAAGTCTGGGGCTCAGGGGAAAATCTGAGTCCGAGGTAAAGAATGGGAGTCATCAGCTAACTGATGGGCACCGAAGCAAGGAGGCTGGATGAGCTCATTTGGACAGAGTCCTGTGTTTAAGGGAAAAATGATTTCCTTGTTTGGTTGAGGTGGTTCCAAGAGAAAAGGTGGTGCATCCCCAGTGAAGCCTGGCCACAGAGCACAAACAGGTCACCACAAATGCCATCAAATGCAGTCACCACTTCCCATTTTCCCTGGACAAAGCTAGCAACTTTTTGGAAAGTTTCAGGATGTCACAAGAGGAAAAAGAGCCAACAACAACATTTATCATTTATGGAAAAACACTTTAATAATTCACTGCTTCAATTAACATTTGCTGCTAATCAAGATTTCATGTCTGAAAGCATCACACCCAAGTGCAGCAGGTTGATTAGGAATCAACTCCATCTGTTTTCATGGAACCCAGTGGGATGGACACAAGGAGACAAATGCCAGGCCTACTGAAAGCTGGCTGTGGGGCTGCCTTCCAAAGCAGGCTGCTCCTGGGAGCCCAGCACCCTGTGGAGTTAGGTGCTCCAAAAGGGGCCCACACTGCCTCCAAACTGCCTTCAAAATGGGCCCAGAATTTTTTTTTAAAGTGTTTTTCCTACTGGACAGGAAGGGATTACTAATTATTTTAGGTCTCTTTATCATACCCTTTAACTTGAGATTATTTCACTGTATTTTTTCCTTTACTGAAAGCTGAAAAAACAATCTGAAATGGAGCAGACAGAGTTTTGTTCCCATATTTGATATTTATAATCTGGTCATTTGTTGATAACTGTTTCTGCCAAAAGGTAGCACTTCAACCCAGAACAGGAAAGAAGCAAGAAAAGATGCTTTTGACCATTTATTGTTCTATAATTATGATTATTTTTATTGTTATAAGATATACAATTTTATTTAAAAAATTATAATTTTTTTTTCATTTATTTTTATTAGTTGGAGGCTAATTACTTTACATCATTACAGTAGTTTTTGTCATACATTGAAATGAATTAGCCATGGATTTACATGTATTCCCCATCCCGGTCCCCCCTCCCACCTCCCTCTCCACCCGATCCCTCTGGGTCTTCCCAGTGCACCAGGCCCGAGCACTTGTCTCATGCACCCAACCTGGGCTGGTGATCTGTTTCACCCTAGATAATATACATGTTTCAATGCCGTTCTCTTTAAAAAACACTTTACTGAAATGAAACCATAGTAACAGATTACTAGATAGCATCAAGTGATCAGAGATGCTACTCTTTGACTTAAATAGCAGTTATTTAATCTCTTTAAGCCTCAGTTTCCCCATCTATAAAATGGAAATAATATAGTATGTAACTCAGATGGCTATTGTAAGTATTAAAAGAGGCACTAGAAGAGCATTTTGTACATTACTTGTTTCCTGGGAAACACTAAAACATTTTAACTATGTGTGACAGGTAAGGTGCATTTCATACGCTCAGGGAATAAAGATGAGTCTATCCTCTTTACTTTTTTCAATTACTCACTTCAGCTGTTTCATTTATTCAACAAATATTTATTGAATGACTACTATGCACTGAGCACTGTTTCAGGATCTGAGGATCCATTCAAAATCCTCACTCCCATGTATTGCAGTCTAACACTGGCAGAAATGCTTAGTGAATTAGTTCATAGCTAGTCACTATTCAAATATTAATTAATCTACCCCATAAATTATACCACAAAGTAGTAGCTAGCTTAGATTAGAGAGATGATAGATAGGTAGGTAAAAATAATTAATAAACTATTAGGTGGTTGCAAATGCTAATGTGAAAATATCAGAATGATGGAAATGGGGCTACTTTAAGTTGGGTGTCCAAGAAAGTCTCTCTGTTGCTGGACATAGACACTGAGGAGCCAAGAGAAGCTCAACATAGGCAAAGGAAACAGCTGGTGCCCAGGCCCTGAGGTGGAAACGAACTTTCCTGCTCCTGAAACAAAATGTCATGTGGTTCCAGTGCAGAGAGCAAGGGGAAGAATGGTGAGAGGGACCGGAGAGGAGGTCAGATCTTTAGGTCCTTAGAGGCAAATGTAAGGAGATTTGATTTTATAACCAGCAGGATGTTAAGTCACTGGTGCATTTTAGTAGGGAAACGACACGGTTGATCTTTATTTTTAGAAGTTAACTCTCTATAGACAGTGAATAATATAGGGAAGAGAGCTGAAACAGCAGTCAGCAGCTTAGTAAACCAAGAAAGCAATGCCAGCGGCCTATCTAGCATCATGGAGGCAGAAGTAAAGAGATGCTGATGGATTCATTTTGATTTTACAGGTAGAACCATGAGGACTTATTGACAGATTGGAAGTAGGGCAAGGGAAAGAAGAAACCCAAGATTTCTGGCTTGAGAGCTTTAAGAAATCTAGTCTCTCCCCACTGAAGCCCCCACCACGCCCAAATGTTCAAGAACACCAGGGGATTGCTCAGTTTGAAGGGATCTATCTTGCTTCCAGAAATATATGCAGGAAAATATGACCATCCCACAATGTCTACTCTCCCACCACCACCTCACATACTCCAGCACTTGTTTCATAAAACCAGAGGGATGCTTGTCTACAGCTGCAGCAACAACCTCTATAAAGCTTCTCCACATCCACAGCAACGCTTCATCTTGGATCCCAAGCTGATAACTTAAGCAGCTCAAAAACACGTGTTTAGTCTTTTCTGTCAAAGTTTCACAGGCTGCTGGGCTGGCTGCAGCTGCTGCATTAACCAACTTCACCACAGACGCAAGTAGCGCCCCCAGCCCACCCAAGGCCCACATGCTGCACTCTCAGCTGCAGCCCAGACTTACCCAGGGAGAGCTCCTGTCTGGGGCCATTTGCTTCATTTCCAGCCCTTGGCCTTAAGTTTGGACTCCAGGAGCTTTCTTGTCAATGAATCTCCTCATGTATATCATTCCACATCATCCTCTGAGCTCAGCACACCATGAAAACAGGACCGTAGATTTTGCTTAGTTACATAAAGAGAAAAAAAAATGTCCTTTTAAGCTTATTTCCAGGGCAAGGGAAATCTACTGGTTTTTTAAATAAATAACTATCCAAATGTTTTGCTCACAGTTAGGGAAATTTTTGCAACTGTCATTTCCATCAGTAGAAACAGAAGACTACATAAAGCCAAATTATCTACCTTGTAAATTACCTATTTATACAAAAAAATTAAACTTATATTTTCCCCCTAAAAAGTGTCTGTACAAAAATACAAGCAGTAAATGAGCCAAAGCAAATACAGAGACTGACAATCCTTTGGAACACAATTTATCTTGGTGGCAGGTGGGGAGGATGCCATTTTGAGGGGAAATGAACTGATGCTCAGATTAACTGGAACAGGCAGCATCCACTCTGCAAGGCAAGGGAAGGGCCTGTGAGGGGATCGTGGTTCCTTCTGTAAAGCAGGCCAGGCCCCAAGACTGCCAAATGCTCCTTAACACAATAATAGTGACGTTTATCACTTCAAGATGGGCAAGGCCCAAGTCATGCTAACACAAATTATTTCTCTCTGGGAGTATCATAAACTGTAATGCCCTTAACACAAATAGCACTGACCTTGATTTGTCTGCATGTTAGGTTAAACAGTAGAAAAGAAAATCTAGTTTTCTCTTTAGGAAGTTAAAGTTAAACCTCACCCCACCTCACCTCACCCTCCCAGCTCGGCAACGAACTGAGCAGAAGGTAACTGCAATGAGCACCCTAGAGAAACTCCTGACACTACTGGAGTTTACAAAATGCACAGAATGAAACTCTGCATCCCGAAGTATGCAGGGAGTTCCCCGAGGGAAGAAGAAGGGTGTGGAAATGGGACTGAAAGTTGCACGAGGAAAGGGGAAGTTGACACACAGAAAGGAGAGCCAAGGGGAGGGAAGGACCACTGGGCACATCTGCAAAGAGGATGAAGCATGGCTTTCACGGCACAAGCTGAGTTCTGAGCCTGTTCCTCCCACACTGTGCTCCAATGCCGAGATGACTTCATCCTTCTTCTATTATTACAGGGCTGCCTGTTTTACAGATGGAGAATGGAGAGGTTCAGACAGAATGGCCAGAGGGCAATTTTGTTGGGGCTCTGGTTGTGACATTTTTTAAGGGTTTTGGCCCCTGTGGGTTATTAAATGACAACTGGCTTTTAGCACAGACTATCTCAACAAAGATCACCCCCTCCAAATATGCAAGACTCAACTGCCTGTCAGAGATGAGCAAAACTGGGAAGAGCCCTGCCACACACAGATTATAGTATGAGGATGGTGCCCCACTCATATGTGGCCACATGGAGGAACCGCAAACTTCCTCTACACAGATTATAGTATGAGGACTAGAGTAGGACTTTTCAAATCTTAAAAGATGATGCTATTAAAGTGTTGCACTCAACATGTCAGCAAATTTGGAAAACTCAGCAGTGGCCACAGGACTGGAAAAGGTCAATTTTCATTGCAATCCCAAAGAAAGGCAATGAAAAGAATGTTCAAACTATGGCACAATTGCACTCATCTCACACGCTAGTAAAGCAATGCTCAAAATTCTCCAAGCCAAGCATCAATAGTATGTGAACACTACTATTAACTTCCAAACATTCAAGCAGGATTTAGAAAAGGCAAAGGAACCAGAGATCAAATTGCCAACATCCACTGGATCATCAAAATAGCAAAAGAGTTCCAGAAAAACATCTACTTCTGCTTTATTGACTATGCTAAAGCCTTTGACTGTGTGCATCACAACAAACTCTGGAAAATTCTTAAAGAGATGGGAATACCAGACCACCTTACATGCCTCCTGAGAATTCTGTATCCTGGACAAGAAACAACAGTTAGAACTGGACATGGAACAACAGACTGGTTCCAAATAGGGAAAGGAGTATGTCAAGGCTGTATATTGTCACCCTGCTTATTTAACNTGTCTGCTTTCTACAAGCACAGGTCAAGTTGGTCTAGGGGAGAATTCTCCAAGGGCTCCAGCATACCTCAACTAGGGATTCCATGGACGTGTGAGGCCAAAGTCCTGGATAGTTTACTAATGTTCCTCCCTTGGCCACTGTCTCAATGGACATAACTTTCCCCAAATGGTAACAATTTCAAAGAAAAGCAATACCAAAGAATTTCCAAACTACCACACAACAGCACTCATTTCACATGCTAGCAAAGTAATGCTCAAAATTCTCCAAGCTAGGCTTCAACAGTATGTGAATCGAGAACTTCCAGATGTTTAAGCTGGATTTAGAAAAGGCAGAAGAACCAGAGATCAAACTGCCAACACTGGCTGGATCATAGAAAAAGCAAGAGCATTCCAGAAAAATGTCTACTTCTGCTTCATTGTCTATGCTAAAGCCTTTGACTGTGTGGATCACAACAAACTCTGGAAAATTCTTCAAGAGATGGGAATACTAGATCACCTGACCTGCCTCCTGAGAAATTGGTATGCAGGTCAAGAAGCAACAGAACTGGACATGGAACAACAGATTGGTTCCAAATCAGGAAAGGAGTATGTCAAGGCTGTGTATTGTCACCCTGCTTATTTAACTTCTATGCAGAGTATATCATGCAAAATGCCAGGCTGGATGAGCCACAAGCTGAAATCAAGATTGCTGGGAGAAATTTCAATAACCTCAGATATGCAGGTGACACCACCCTCATGGCAGAAAGTGAAGAAAAACTAAAGAGCTTCTTGATGAAAGTGAAAGAGGACAATGAAAAAGCTGTCTTAAAACTCAACATTCAAAAAATGAAGATCATGGCATCCAGTCCTATCACTTCATGACAAATAGATGGGGAAACAATGGAAACAGTGACAGACTTTATTTTCTTGGGCTCCAAAATCACTGCAGATGGTGACTGCAGTCATGAAATTAAAAGACACTTGCTCCTGGGAAGAAAAGCTATAACCAACCTAGACAACATATTATAAAGCAGAGACATTATTTTACCAACAAAGGTACATATGTTCAAAGCTATGGTTTTTCCAATAGTCATGTATGGATGTGAGAGTTGGACCATAAAGAAGGCTGAGCACTGAAGAACTGATGCTTTTGAACTGTGGTGTTGGAGAAGACTCTTGAGAGTCCGTTGGACTGCAAGGAGATCCAACTAGTCAATTCTAAAGGAAATGAGTCCTGAATATTCATTGGAAGGACTGATGCTGAGGCTGAGGCTCCAATACTTTGGTGAAGTCTGAGATAGTTGGATGGCATCACCGACTCAATGGACATGAGTTTGAGTAAGCTCCAGGATGTGGTGAAGGGCAGGGAGGCCTGGCGTGCTTCAGTCCATGGGGTCGCAAAGAGTCAGACATGACTGAGCAACTGAACAACAACAAATTGTACCAAGACACACATAAGTTCACAGATCAATTCTTTCAAATTAGTCAGTGAACAGTTTCTATCCATTTTAAACTGTTGCAAAGCTTAGAGTAAGATTACAGAGCTGATATAACACTGATACCAAAATAGAACAAGTAAGTGTTAAGTGTTAGTTGCTCAGTCGTGCCTGACCCTTTGCAACCTCACAGACTGCAGCCCACCAGGCTCCTCTGTCCATGAGATTTTCCAGGCAAGGATACTGGAGTGGGTTGCCATTTCCTTCTCCAGAGGATCTTCCTAACCCAGGGATCGAACCCAGGTCCCCTGCACTTCAGGCAGATTCTTTACCAACTAAGCTACAAGGGAAGCCCCAAATTGAACAAAGACATCACTATATAGTATATTACCAACTAGTAGTGTGCATCAATAATGATTCAGAAACCCTACACTGGGAAAAAACAGATAAAATCCAAACAATGTGGAATTGAATTAACAGTAATTTAACAATGTTTGTTAGCTCCTTAGTTGTGGCAAAATGTAGCATAGCAATGTAAGATATTAAACACAGAGGAAATTGGCTAAGGGATATGTGGGAACTTTCTGTGGTATCTTAGTAACTTTTCTGTAAATCTAACATTATTAAAATTTTTAATGTTTATTAAAAAAATTAAAACATACTTAAAAGTTAATCATGTCACTCTTGCTTAGGAAGGGCTCAAGTTCACTCTCAGAAACATGGAGAAGTAAAATACACTGAAAGGACCTTCGGAGTAGCTCTCACTGTATCCATCAGACCTATGTGGCTTCCTTCTTGACCATGGCTGAAACAGGGATGTATATTCTGATGTTTCCTTCCTGGATTCCTAACACCACTGACACCTCCTAAGTCTCAAATTTTAAGACAAGGACAAAAAACCACTGTGGATAGTAACTAATCATAATATGCAACTTTGAAGGCATGGAGATACTTCCTCAAAGGATCACACACCTCTTTTTTTTTTGGCCACACCACACATCATGTGGGATCCTAGTTCCTTGATGAAGGGTTGACCTGTGCCCCCTGCATTGGAAGCATGGTGTCTTAACTGCTGGACCACCAGGGAAGTCCCAAGATCACAAATCTCTTGACAGCAAATCCTGACTACCTAGTTTCACACCAATGCAGGCATATCAGAAAGCTTCCCCAAAAAAGTCCAGTCTACCTTCCAGGTAGTCAGATTCACCGAACAGATACCAAGTTCCACAAGCCTGAAAACTGAGACAGCAGAGTCCATCCTGCCTGACTCTCCAGCCCAAGAAATTTGCCACCCACCCTTATTGTGACAACAGAGTGAGCTAGTCTCCCAAAACCTTGATCTACTTAAAAGTGACATACACAATGTAAAGGCCTAGTCCCATCATGAGCAGCTTAGGAGCAGCTTCCAGGGAATCTGGTAGCAAAATTCTAATCCACATCATTTCTGTTTAAAATAAATTAGAACAAGTGTGAATTTCCCCAGTCATCTACTTCTTCCCATGATTAGTGAGCCTGGGGAAATGTTTCCATGCAGGAACATATGGAAAAAGATCAAATTTTGGCGAGATGAGTCTACAATTAGGACCTAAGATCCCTGGAACATCAAAGTGGTATGAAGTGGTTTAATTGGTTCCTCGAGAAGACAGTAGTTGAT